CAATACTCGTAAGAAATTTGGACATCTAGAGAAAATGTGTCGCAACAAAAATCATCAACAAGCAAATTTTGCTGAAAAACTGGACAGAGAACAACATCTCTTCTATGCTACGGGATGTTTTGACAATGAATCAAAAGGAAGATGGTACTTGGACAGCGGATGTAGTAACCATATGGCGAATGATCCAAGCATCTTCAAAGAAATTGATAACTCCATCAAAGTTCAAGTACGATTGGGAAATGGCACCGTGGTAGAGTCAAAAGGAAAAGGAAGTGTTATGGTGGAGACCAAGAAAGGTATGAGACTTATCAATGATGTCTTACTAGTTCCCAATCTTAAAGAAAATCTCTTAAGTATTGGTCAAATGATGGAGAAAGGATATACTCTCCACTTTGAAAGAGATACATGCACTATCTATGATAAGAAAAATCTAGAGATTGGCCAAGTAAAAATGGAAAAGAGAAATAGAAGTTTTCCTATAAGCTTCAATCGAGGAACTAACATTGCCATGAAAGTAGAAGTTGATGACTCGTGGCTATGGCATCGTAGATTTGGTCACTTCAATACTCATGCCTTAAAGCTACTACATCAAAAAGGCATGATGAGAGATCTACCAAGCCTTAAGGAGAGTAGTGAAGCTTGTGAAGGATGTCTTCTGGGAAAGCAACACAGATTACCATTTTCTACGGGAAATACTTGGAGAGCAAAAGACTTGTTGGAGTTAATCCACACAGATATTTGCGGACCAATGAGGACTCCATCGCTTAATAACAACAGGTACTTCATTCTCTTCATTGATGATTTTTCTAGAATGACTTGGGTCTACTTCATCAAAGCAAAATCAGAAGTCTTTAGAATATTCAAGAAATTTAAGGCCCTTGTCGAAAAGCAAAGCGGAAAACAGATAAAGGTTCTCAGGAGCGATCGAGGCAAAGAGTACACCTCCCACGAATTTGATAAATTCTGTGAGGATGAAGGTATTGAGCGACAACTTACAGTCGCATATTCTCCACAACAGAACGGTGTCTCAGAGAGAAAAAATCGCACCTGTCATGGAAATGGCAAGATCAATGTTGAAGGAGAAAGGCTTGCCAAATACATTTTGGGCGTAAGCGCTTACACTGCTGTATATATACTCAATAGATGTCCAACTAAGGTAGTCCAAAACAAGACTCCTATTGAATCTTGGAGTGGAAGAAAGCCATCAGCTAAACACCTACGAATATTTGGATCAATTTGCTACATACATGTTCCTGATCAGAGGAGGCATAAGCTTGAAGACAAAACTATAAGAGGAATATTCTTGGGATACATCCAACAGTCAAAAGGCTATCGAGTATACAACCTACAAACAAAGAAACTCGTCATCAGTCGAGATGTTGAGGTTGACGAAAATGCTTTTTGGAATTGGGAAGAAGAAAAAGTTGTTAGAAACAACATCCTGGTTCCAGTACAACAACTTGAAGAAGAAACAGGAGATCCAGGTACGCTTTCTCCACCTCCACAAGAAGAAGAAGAATATACTTCACCAGAGTCTACACCAAGACGTGTAAGATCTTTGGTAGATATATATGAAACTTGTAACATGGCCATCATTGAGCCTTCCTGCTATGAAGAAGCTTCAAAGCAAGAAGTATGGGTCAAGGCCATGGAAGAAGAAATCAAAATGATTGAGAAGAATAATACTTGGGAGCTTGTGGACTGTCCTCACGGAAAAGATATCATTGGAGTAAAATGGATATATAAAACTAAGCTCAACCCTGATGGAACCATACAAAAATATAAGGCAAGATTGGTTGCAAAAGGATACTCACAACAACCTGGGATCGACTACAATGAGACTTTTGCTCCAGTTGCTCGCCTAGATACAATTAGAGCTTTAATAGCCCTTGCTGCACAAAAAGGTTGGAACATCCATCAACTGGATGTCAAATCTGCCTTTCTCAATGGAACACTAGAAGAAGAGATCTATGTTGAGCAACCACAAGGATTCATCAACAAAGGCCACGAAGGAAAAGTACTAAGACTAAGAAAAGCTCTATATGGCCCGAAGCAAGCTCCTCGAGCATGGTATAGTAAGATTGATAAATATTTTATCAATCAAGGATTTAGGAGGAGCAAGAGTGAGCCAACACTTTATATCAAGACACAAGGTCAAGTATAATCTCATTGTCTCCTTATATGTTGATGATCTCATCTATACAGGAAACAATAAGGAAATGATGAAAGAATTCAAAGAAGATATGATGAAAACATTCGAAATGACTGATCTTGGCTTGATGAACTACTTCCTGGGATAGAGGTGATACAACAAAAAGAAGGAATATTTATCTCTCGAAGAAATATACTGAAGCTCTACTAAAGAGATTCAAGATGTACGGATGTAAACCTGTCACTACTCCTTTGGTGGTAAACGAAAAGCTAAAGAAAGATGATGGAGCACCGAAGTAGATGTATCACAATACAGGAGTTTGATCGGAAGCCTTCTATATCTCACAGCCTACACGACTCGGACATTATGTATGCTACAAGTCTTCTGTCAAGATTCATGCAAAAGCCAAGTCGATTCACTATGGAGCAGAAAAAGGATTTTAAGGTATCTCGCAAGGCACAAGAGAGTTTGGTATATGGTACAAGACCATGACCAACTCAAGGATGATTTGCTACACCGACGGTGATTGGGCAGGATCAATAGACGACATGAAGAGTACGTCAGGATACGCCTTCTCACTTGGATCGGGTTTTTTCTCATGGGCATCAAAGAAGCAAGCAACCGTGGCACAATCAACGACTGAAGCAGAATACATAGCTGCTGCTGAAACTACAAGTCAAGCAATATGGCTACGAAGAATACTTGAAGAAATGGGCGAACCACAAGATGGACCAACTACTATTTATTGCGACAACAAATCAAGCAATAGCAATGACGAAAAATCCTGTTCATCATCAAAGAACAAAACATATAGCTATTAAATATTACTTCATCGGAGAGGTTGAAGCGACTAAACAAATTCAACTTGAGTACTGCACTACGGAAGATCAAATTGCGGACATATTTACCAAGGCACTACCAAGAGCCAAGTTTGAACAATTACGTTTCATGCTTGGAGTTACAAGAATTTGCATCAAGGAGGAGTGTTGAAAGATGATACAAATTCTAGAAAGATCTAGAATATAAAATCTTAGATGTTACTAGAATTAGGAATTATATATGAGTAATATCTAGAATCCTTAGAAGATTCTAGAAATGTTTGAAAGTAGAAGATAGATAATTCTAGAATTAAGAAAAGATAGAATTATGTAAAACTTCTAGAATTATGTAGAAAACATATGTGTACTAGTAGAAACTACAACATGATTCTAGAAAAAGAAAAAGAAGAAGAAATGTGTAGAAACAATGAAAATAGTAGAAAATTCTAGAATCTTGTAAGTAAAGCCTATAAATAGGCATGAAGGGAGTCTTTGTATGTGTGGAAAATCTAATACAAGCTCCTACATATCTTGTAACACTTCTAACATCAATTACTATCTTCCCTCATACAAACCTTCTCCTATTTGTCCACATCTTTCTAAAAACTATTTTCTACACAAATCTCACTACTAAACATCAAACTATCTTTCCTATCCTTCTTAAAATACTAACAAGATGATTTGCTTCTGTGCCACAGAACATGAATCTAAACTCCTTGGTTCTTAAAAGGCGAAGTGTTTTATTCCAGAAATAACTAACGTTAAGTATAACAATTACTCTTACCCTTTAATATATAATTAATTCGTAGTTGAAGGAATGTGAGAAATACATACATATTTATAGCAAATCACCAGAACAAAATGCTCTTCATCAGAGATCAATGATGGTCATTTTCAGTAATTTATTTTTATTTAATATGTATTCTATGTCTCAACGACATTCCACATTAACGAAATTCTGCATCGTATTAAAAAAAAAATTATTATTGTTATTAGTGATGTATAGATAGTGTAGGTAGAGAGAAGAACAAATTAAAACTATGCATCAATATACTTGCAATTGTCTATTTTCCGAATTAGTTTTACATATATAGAAAGACATTTTTCCAAAAAATCTACTCGAGCAAAGAAGTCTTTGAGTTTACAATCTTGTCATGAACTGGTCCCAAAATTATATATCACGGATCCCAGACCGACAATTTACTGATGCTAAATCCAAAGATGAATAACTCAGTTCGCACCCTGCAACTCTGATGGACGAAGAATACCATAATGCAATGTACATTAATTTGATCCTAAACATTTGTCAGCAACACGAAAGATACATAAAGTTCCTTCCATTTTTGTTTTCCTGAAAGAAAAAAAACATTTACAGTTGCTAACTCACATGTCGTTATTAATTTGAAACCTGTGAGCGTGCATGCCGTAGAAGTTAACCAAAGAAAAAGTTATACATGATAATGATAGGTAGTAAATACTGCATATGCGTTAAGAGTAGAAATTAACATGATATATATTACATATATACATGATAGCTACGAGCTAGCTTAAATGATAGACGGAAGAAATAGTAAATAGTAAATTTACCGTTTTGGTGAAATGAGGAAACCCTAGGAGTGATGATAATGACAAAGAAAAAGAAAAGGAAAAATGAAAAAGGAGATAAGCAAGAAGCAGTGGGCATCCATTTCCACTTCTTCCACTCAACAATCATAGGAAGATAACATGACGTTGTCGTTGCCTATCCCAACAAGGTCGTAAAGGTCTCGGTCGCACATTCCTCCACGTGGCACAAACTTATTGCTCCATGAACTTGCTAAAATGACAAAGCACCCCTTCGATCCTTCTATTAATGCCCACCTCACCCAAACTTAAGGGCTCCCCCCCTCTAGCAACTGTTAACGTAATAACGTGCCTGCCCCTATACCTCACCCCCACTACTATTATTATTGCACAAAACAGCCAAATCCCTGAATGCTTAGAGAGAGAAAGTGTGAGAAAGTGGAAGAAAAGAAGGAGTGTGAAACTTGATGGAAGCTGGCCTCATGAAGGAGAAGATGGTGTTCGAGGAAACTGAACTCAGGCTGGGACTTGGACTGCCCGGGAATGGAGCCGCGGCAACTGAAGCAGAAGGAGTGAGGAAGAGAGGGTTCTCTGAAACTGAGACTGAAACAACTACCGTTGATTTGATGCTTAACCTCTCCCCCAAGGAAGCTACTTCTGCTGATGGAGCAGATCCACGGGATATGCCAAAGACTTCGCCTAAGGAGAAGACCCTTTTGCTTCCCGATCCCGCCAAACCTCCTGCTAAGTAAGTGCTAGTATTTCAAAATAGTTTAATACTGGTTTACAACAAATCAATGCTTCAGTAACCAAATTTAGTGTTCAAAATACTGATCCTGAAGTAACAAAAGTTTAAGTAATTTTTATTTTTTAAGTATTCATGTTATATTTTGTTTCTGGCTTTATTTATTCTTGTATTTGCATGCGTAGAAACTGAAAAAAGGAAGAAAAAAAAGGAGAGTTACTCTAGCTAATTGTCTCTGTAACTTTTTCATGATCTTCCATGGAGTTCAACATATAAGCGTAAGGATATCAGTGTTTATATTAATGATATGGTTAATTTGAGGTGTCTGAATGGAAAAGATTTAGAAAAGGAAGTCCGAAGGATAGATCATGAGAATTAAAGAACAAATTATAGTGACTAAAATGTTCACTGTAAGGGAGAAAACATGAATATTAAAACTCTAGAATCAAATAGTTTGGGTAGCTAGTCATACACAGGTGACAAATGGCAATAACCTTTTACACATATATACATACATGTGTGTGTTCTTGCAGACTGTTTAAACATGCGATGTACGAAACAACTAAGAAAATCGATATACACAGATGCTTATCTAGTTGCTTATGTAAAGAAACAAAGAGAAAAGTGGATAAGCATAAACAGGACACAATTCGCGATGGTTTAAGTCTTGATATGAATTTCATTGCTAATCAGCTAGTTCTGAAAGGAAGCTGATGAATTTTAATTTCTTTACATGATTAATTCATTTATTTATTTTTTTATGTATAATTCCATCCCGAAACCTTGGTAATTATGAAGTTATTGTACGGATATTAATGATTATTTTAGGGCGCAAGTGGTGGGATGGCCACCAGTGAGGTCTTTCCGGAAGAACATGTTTGCAGCCCAAAAGAGCAGTGGAGAGGAAAGCGAGAAGAACAGCCCTAATGCAAGCTTTGTGAAAGTTAGCATGGATGGAGCACCTTACCTCCGCAAAGTGGACTTGAAGATGTACGAGAGTTACCCAGAGCTCTCTGATGCCTTAGGCAAAATGTTTAGCTCTTTCACCATTGGTAATTATATAGCTTATAAAAATACATGCATGTGTTTAAATATAGAGTAAAGTTATGCATAGTCATTGTAAAAAGTATTATGCAAATTTTTATAAACAATTAATTAGTTTAATTGTTGTTGATATAATTTTTAAATGGTTATTATAAAAGTTAATGAATATATCATGAATGATAATTTTCATAATTTTATGTTAGCATAAAATTATTCTATATGTTATGTTATGTTATTTTCTCTTTAATATACTGAACCACCAGAAGATATGGATCGTAAATTTAATTTTGAAGTATGTGAATATAAAATTAAATCGTGCATGTTATTGGGTGATATTAATTATTGGTGTGTGGTGGATATATTGAAGGAAACTGTGAATCCCAAGGCTTTAAGGATTTCATGAATGAGAGCAAGTTGATGGATCTTTTGAATAGCTCCGACTATGTCTCAACCTATGAAGACAGGGATGGCGACTGGATGCTTGTCGGTGATGTTCCATGGCAGTAAGTTACCCTCCACTTCATCAACCCAAATTATTTTGGTTGCAGTGATTTGACCTTGTAATAGTTTCAAGAAAGAAAAAGATGAGGGAACATAAAGGCACAAAAAGAGGACAGTAGCTTGATATGCACATTGCATTGTTATTTCACACAACTCTAATCCAATAAACTTTGCGCGTAAAATATCGTGCATGTTATAAAGAAATAATGCGTGATCATCTGATTTTTTATTTTATTTTATTTTATCATGTCCATGTGCATCAGAATAAGCATATCTTTTTAGAGTGCTCATCTTTTTACATCAAAAAGATAAAAACATCTTATATATAATCTTATTTATTAATATTATATTTTTAAAGTGATTAATTTAAAATAAAATTAATTAAAAGTTATTATTTAATTAATAAATAAAATGGCTAAAATGGATGTTGGTTGATAGTGGATTGTCAATTTATCATCTTCCATCGTGATGTCGTTTTGGTTAATTATTTGTGCACAAACAACACGTCCATGTTTTTTTTTTCCGATGACAATAAACACGCATATATAGCATTGACAAACAACGGAAAATTTTCTAAACAGCCTCCATATATATATATATATATATATATATATATATATATATATATATATATATATATATATAGAGAGAGAGAGAGAGAGAGAGAGAGAGAGAGGGAGCAATAATTATGTAATTAATAATTAACATGATTTTTTTTCTGTCAACCAGGATGTTTGTTGAATCATGCAAGCGTTTACGTATCATGAAAGGAAAGGAAGCTATTGGACTGGGTTAGTATCTTAATATCTTTTACGTACTTTTACTTTTACATAAAAAAGGAAACCCTACTTGTTAGTAATGATTCCATGCATATAATTAATATCCCTCCGTTATGTCATGTTTGAACCATCAATTGTTCCACATAATATGTTGGTAATTAAATTAGTAAAGAACTGTACCATTTCATTGAAAGAAACACATGCATTTTGAAAAGAAAATTGTTTGTTAATGTGGGTCAGCACCAAGAGCCATGGAGAAATGCAAGAACAGGAGCTAGACTAGTAGTTACCAGTCCATAACCTGTTACACTTCATCGTTCGTGGTGCCCAGTTGACTTAGTAACTGAAGCAATGTTAAGCTGCAGCAGACACAGATGGAGAGAGAGAGCAGGGTGTTAAAATATAGTTAAATTGTGTATCATTATGGTTTGTTATATAATATTTCAAACAAAGCAGTGAGATGTCTAAGTATAAATGATGAACAGAAACGATAATGACTCTAAATTATGTTGCAAGACTTTCTTGTTTCTTTAATTGTTGTGTGCTTGCGTAATAATAAGTTTAAGAATTTGCTTGTCTGTTGTAGTTATATATTTTTCATTTTCTACTTTTCAACTTGTCCTTTTTTCTCCCTCGCCATCATTGATCCTTGTATTAATCGAATTTTTTATTTGTATAATATTAAAAATCTATTGTATGGAGGTTAGTTTTTGTTTTAGGTCTAGAACCGAGTAGCTAGTACTTGAAATGTTCCCTGAACTTCATGGTTTGGGGGACAGGATCATGTGCACGCTCAAATATCATTTATGCATGCCCACTGATATGAGTTTACTTTATTATTCTTTTAAAAATATATATATATATATATATATATATATATATATATATATATATATAGAGAGAGAGAGAGAGAGAAAGAGAGAGAGAAAGAGAGATATGTAAGAATTATCCATCATCATCAGTTCACCTATTTATATATCTCATTTTTTTTAGACCTTTATATGTAAATTATTTTAAAGAGTCTTTTTTATAATTGAAATATATATATATATATATATATATATATATATATATATATATATATATATATATATATAGAGAGAGAGAGAGAGAGAGAGAGAAAGAAAGTGAGAGGGAGATGTGAGAATTATCCAGTATCATCAGTTATGTTCACCAATTTATATATCGCATTTACTTTTTTTTTTAATACCTTTATATGTAAATTATTGTAAGGGTCTTTGTATTTTGTAATTGAAAGTCAATCTTCTTATCTTAATTTAATGACTGAACTAGGATGGATAAGTATAACGGGAAATTGTATTAATTAGTACAAAAAAGATATAAAAAATATATAACAAATAAAAATTTGGAAAAAAAGACAATATATATAATGAAGAGACATTTGGTATTATTAAATGTTATATAAATATATTATATTAATAAAATAACACTAATGTAAAATGTCTTACCTTTCACAACTACAAAAATTAAACCAAAAATTATAAATATAACAAAAGCACATAGAAAATTTAAAGAATTAATTCAAAATTTATTGATAAAAATTGTTTTCGTCACTAATATTGGCGTCAAAAGGAACATATATAATTTGTTAATAGTTCTATTTTTTATTTTAGGTTTTATGTGGTGGCAAGACTTTTATAATGGAAACTGTTATGAATATCTTACAAATAATAAAAAAAAGGAGAAAAATAAAAATATATAGATTTGAAGAATAGATGTGAAACAAAATATCATTATTATTATTTTTAATTTCATAGGGTGGATCCACTAAAAAAAATACTTGTTATTACCTGAAAATCATTGATCTAAGTCTTTATAATTTTTCTTCTAGTGGATTTTAAATGTAATTATTATTATTATTATTATTATTATTATTATTATTATTATTATTATTATTATTATTAATTGTCTTTAGTTTAAAAAGCTTTCCCTGCTCTTGAAAACAGGAAACCAAACGTGCAAAAGTTTTTTGATATTTTAATCAGTAAAATATTCAAAAAAGAAATGTCTCAAGACTAAAAATTAAATACCTTTTATAAATAAAGATCAAAATAATAACTCGGTAACCAAAATAACAATCCGGGGTATAATATTAATCTCAATATAATTTTGTTGAGTTATTATATTTTATTCAGATCGATGTATAAGTCCCCCATTTAGAAGCATGTACGTTGCATATCGGCATTACAAAAAATGTATTTTTTTTAACAAAAGTATGAGATATAAAAAATGTCATCACATAGACAATCCGATGTGATATGAGAAAAAAAAACAATTGTGACGATGAATATATATATATATATATATATATATATATATATATATATATATATATATATATATATATATATATATATATATATATATTATATCGATTATGTTGTCATTAATTATTGCGTTGCAAAATCATTCGCAAGAAAAAAACTTATGAAGTTAGTAATTATTGTTACCGAAGATGATCAACAAGAAGTTTGTTAAATTGAAGAGGAAGATGAAATCGATTAGTCGATCTTTAAACTAGATATGAATCGATTTCTTGAAAAATGATAACAATAATATTTTAGTCATACAACATATTGATAAAAAATAATAAACAAATTGCAAATAAATGTAATATAACTAATCCGTATCGAATATCACAATGACATAATTATAAGAACATATTCATTACCACATATCATTCTCTCTAAAACGAGTAAACAAAGTATGAATAAAAGAGTGAAAAAAATTGATGCACAATAATAAAAATTAAAATCAAATTACTATAGAATATTAATGACAATTAAATTAAATGAAAGCAAAATTTAAATAACTGAAATTTATAAAATTAAAATAAAGTGTTTTTAATTAAAATTACAAGAATTAAGAATTGTTTTAAAATAAAATAGTGCAGATATTGAAATTAAATTTATGTAAAAATTTAAATAACTTGAATTTATAAAATTAAAATAAAGTGTCTTTAATTAAAAGTGCAAAAATTAAGAATTATTTTAATATAAAATAGTGTAGTAATCAAATTTAAAATTCTTAGAAACCATAACTCTAAAACTAAATTAAAAATTGGAATTGGAAAAGAAATGAATTGAAAATGAAAAATTAAGCAATATTGGAATAAAAATTCTAAACAACTAAATAACAGAAATTAAAATGAGTACTGAATAAATAAAGTAAATATAACAATATAAACTGAAAAATTCAATAGAAATTACAAATTAAATAATAGAGAACAAACTAGAAGTGTCGTAGCAATAGATGACTCGCCTAACTAAAAACTAAACTAAAAACCGAGAATAGAAAAAGAAAATGGGGACGAGACAAAACAATAGTTTTTACCCCAGACTAGGAGATTGTTATTATGTGTTTCGTAAGACCTCTATTTATAGGGATTTGAACAGGGAGAAATTAAGCCTAAAATTAATTATAATAAAATCAAATATTTCTCAAATAATTAATTACAAAATTAGATTGTTGTGAAGAGAAATTTTTGAAACTGATTTGGAGAAAATAATATACTTCTTTCCTATTTTGAGTGATCCTGCATTGATTTGCATTTAGTTCTTGATTCTTGCTGGCTTTTAATTCATCTAAATTGGATTCTCGCACCAGTTAATTTGTTTGATTCAAAATTTTCATTTGTAAAGTTCTGCAAGTGGGCTGCATAAACAAACTTGGGTTTTCAAGAATAGTGAAACTTGACAGCAACAATTTGGACATTTCTTCCCATCAATTTGGTCCATCTCAAATTACCTCTCCTACAAAAGAAGAAAAAAGAAATATGCAATGTGGATGTATGCATGTATATTATTTATTATGCTAAAACTATGTAAAATGCAACAAATTAAGAAAAATTGAATTATGCTATGTTTTTAATGAAAACATGTTAAATGCATGGTTTATGAATAAAATAATTAGCTTAAAAATCCTCTTAGATCAAGAAATAAAGAGTCAAATGACATACATCAACTACTTCACACTTTTGCTCTTTTGCACTTCCAAGAAAAAGATAAAAGAAAGAAAAGAAGAAAGAAAAGAAAAGAATGCATGCAATGCAAAGATGTATAATGTTGCAAACATTAGTAACATCTTGAAAACTACAGTAGTCAAGGAAAACTTCATCAACCAAAAGTGAGAGAATAAAAAAGATCAAGATCATAACTCACAAAGTATTATCATGGCCAAGTACTCTTTAAACCTTAGAAAAAAAAAACATGGATTTTTGTGATGATTCTACGCTCCTTACTTCCCTTTAAGTCTAATTGTGGGTAGTTTTTGGGTTGGAAAGACTTTAATTCTCGGGTTTAAATCCAAGAAAAGGCTAAGGCTCAAAGGTGGGGTCAAAGGATAATTTAAGGTAAGGGTAGGCTATTTGGCTAAGTAACTAAGACAAAGAAGGCCTAAATCATATCTACTGGTGTATATGCTTGTCTGGTGTCATAGAGAAATTAATCAAGTTCTGGAAAGTTCTCATGTCATGAGTGGTGCACACATAAAGGTGTTAGAATCGCACAGTGTAATGTTTGCATTTACGGATAAAAACCAAGAGGGGGGGAGGGTGAATTGGTTTCTTAAACAAAAATTAGGGTTTTAAATTTTTTTCCAAATTTCACCGATTAAATTGCTTTGTAAAGTAAATAGATAAGGGAAAGAAGATTACACAGTTGATTTATACTGGTTCGGATCAAAAGACCCTACGTCTAGTTGCTAATCACTCAAAAAGAGGATTAACATTGTCACTATAATCACAGTTTACAAACAGATTACAAATTGAAAAGATAAGGAATAGAAAACACCTCTCTTGAGTCACACAAGAGATGATCACCTCCTTTGAATCCACAAAGGATGAACAATATATTTTCCTAGAGACGGCACAACACACAATCCACCAAGAAACCCACTCAGTGATTCTTATCGCTTCTATCCCACACTAGGTTTTCAAAAGCCCTTTTTTCTTCCCTACAGAAAGTTCTCGCAGTCATAACTCTTAACTTTTGTATGAAAAATGTTTGTTATTTTGCAGAGAGCCTTAGAGAACCTTAAGTAGAGAGAATAGGGCCTGGGAAATGGTGATTTTCGAAAACAGAAGAATTGGGAATAGGGTTTTCATAAATTGGTCCAAATTTGAATTTCAAAACTCATAATAGACGTAAATAATCGATTATCTTGAGTGATAATCGATTATTCCAGAGCCATTTTCTCAGAGGAGTAAAACAGGACCAGGATAATCGATTATCTGGCCAAATAATCGATTATTTGCCTG